ATTTTGATACCGAACAAGATCCCGTTTTACAAATTTGAAAATTCCAAGCCGTTCCGGAAATATCCGAGAAAAACCGAAATATTGCGATTTCGTTTTTATTATTTTTTAAAGCTATTTGAAAAGATATGAAAAAACGGAAAACACTTTTCCATTGGCACTTTTTAATCTCTCCAAATTGACGTTAACAAATTTTCATTACAGCGTTTCGATTCCATGGAACCACCATCAACTTTGATTTTTCTTATGGGACGGAAAAAAAGTGCACACAGTATTAGGTTGTGCTTTTCATTGCGAATTCAACGATGTACGATACAATACGGTTACTTATGTTTTTATCCAGAAAAATGGCTTTTTAATACATTTCAGCATTTAAATGGAGTAGGCCATGACAAAATGACATCCAGTCAATTTCAATGACACATTAATGTTATTTGTCTTTGTTATCAGTCGATCATAAGTTTATTCCTTTAGTTATTGTTTTTGTATTTTTATTGTTGTTGTCTTTTTCTAATTTATTTTGTTCTACAATGGAGGGAGGTAATTTTACAAACGAAGAAAAATGTGATATGCTGTCTTGCTACATCTGATGCCAAAGAAATTGTGTGGAAGCCGAGCGTATGTATTCTAACAAATACCCAGAGCGGAGACAACCTGACAAGAGTATTTTTCGGCGTTTGTTATTTAATCTGAAAGAATATGGATCATTTAAGAAGCCTGCATTATCCCGACAAAAACCTTCCAATGAAGAAAACCAATACATTGTTCTACAATCTGTTATCGAAAATCCACAAACTTCTACCAGAGAAATTGAAGACCAGAATGGGGTAGCTAAATCTACAGCTCAGTTTATTTTAAGGAAAAATGAATTTAAGCCTTACAAATTCAGAATATGTCAAGGATTAAAACCGGGTGACGACGAACGAGGTAGACATTTTTGTGAGTGGTATACCAGGATGTGTGATGAGAGTTTTAATTTTCCATATAAAGTGATTTGGTCTGATGAAAGTATGGTGACCAATAACGGTATTTATAACAGGCGCAATACACACTATTGGTCGCAACAAAATCCACGTGTTAATAGACTATCCAGACATCAAGTTCGCTTTGGGTTTAATATTTGGTGTGGGATTTTTGGTAGCAAGATTATAGGCCCTATTTTCTATAATAATTCCTTAACTTCCGAGCGGTACCTTGACATCTTGAGGCACGATTTAGAAGATGCCTTAGATGATTTACCGCTAGGCGCTGTGCAAGGCTGCTGGTTCCAACAAGATGGTGCCCCAGCCCATAACTCCAGAGAAGTTCGCCAATATTTAACTGAACGGTTTGATGGAAAATACATTGGGACTTACAGTGAAACACCTTGGCCTCCAAGGTCCCCGGACTTAACTCCCTTGGACTTTTTCTTATGGGGCTACATAAAAAATGAGGTATTCAAAGAATGTTTTGACAACGAGGAACAATTACGTCAATCAGTACGAGCAGCGTTTAATAAAATTACTCCTGAAATGTTAAGTCGTGTTTTGGAGTCTACCGTGAGACGGGCGTACTTATGCCTAGAAAATGGAGGTCATTTATTCGAACATTTGTTATAGAATTTGTTTTTCATTAACTTGTTGGATTTAGTTGTTATGTTAAATGAACAGTTAGAGTTAGTAAATAAATAAACACATTAACTCGAACTTGTCAACCATTTTCTTTTGCCTTTCATCGTTCGGATCTCATGGCCTACTACAATAAAATACTAGAAATGTATTAAAAATCCATTTTTCTGGATAAAAACATAAGTAACCGTATTGTATCATACATCGTTGAATTCGCAATGAAAAGCACAAATTAATACTGTGTGTACTTTTTTTCCGTCCCATAAGAAAAATCAAAGTTGATGGTGGTTCCATGGTATCGAAACGCTGTAATGAAAATTTGTTAACGTCAATTTGGAGAGATTAAAAAGTGCCAATGGAAAAGTGTTTTCCGTTTTTTCATATCTTTTCAAATAGCTTGAAAAAATAATAAAAACGAAATCGCAATATTTCGGTTTTTCTCGGATATTTCCGGAACGGCTTGGAATTTTCAAATCTGTAAAACGGGATCTTGTTCGGTATCAAAATGCGCAACTTTTGTCTAATTTAACCGACACTGTATCTCTTATAGTTTCCGAGATCCCCATGCTGTGCATCCTTATCTTGGACACACTGTATACTATTTAAACACTAGAGACTGGTGTGGTCTTGCAATCAACTGTAAACTAATTGCAACTTTGTACCGTTCTGTAACAATAGCCTAGAATACCGCCTGTTGCACAGCATGTGTTTGAAGCAATAAAGAATGATTAAAGAAGGTACATAAGCGACATAAGATTCCGATATCTTCGGACATGTCACCACTATATCATCTGCCTTTGACGTGATGGGCAGGAAATGCCAAAAGACACAAAAATCGCGTAATTGACGGTGGTGCCGAAGAATGCGAGTCCCAGAGAGAGATAGAAGTCATTCCCTCTCCTTCGGAGTCAGTGGTCTGTACCGAATAGCTCCAAACGAATACCGATTTACGACCAACGGATTTCCATTACAATATACATAATTTGCGAGCGAATAAATGGAGTTTGCCTTGTCAAAATAAAAACTTATATTAATCGATGCATTGTTTTACGCGCCCCGACAAAACGCAATTACAATTATTCGTTTGGTTCGGCAATAAAACTGCCTGCAACGTCGAAACGATTTGAACGCTTTTGTCTAACAGGAATACAAATGCGCGCAGCATAATTACGAGGATACCAATTTCAGATAAGCAAAATGGCGATTATTAAATACCGCGCATTTTCATTTTTCGATCTTGCTGGTATCCGAGTTTTTGCGCGCTACCGCCAACCCCTGTTTATATTTTTAAACAGATCAAAGCCCGATCCTTATTTAATAAACAGAACGAAAAGATTGGCACTTGAAGAAAAAAAGTTGTTGCAGGGACGCTTCCGGGAGAAGCCGATAAAATTGCCTTGTCAGTGGTGTCAACTTTCAAACTCCATCTTCTCCTTTTTCCACGAGGATTGGCCTTCGAAAAAAAGCGAAAGATTGTGGGAACGGAATAAAGCAAAACCTTCCACTTCTGCCCTTGTCTTGTCAGTTCTACCACCTTCACGTTATATTTTTGAAGGAACTACATTTCCAAGTAACACTTTTTGTTACGTACCGATTATTTTTTTAATAAAAACTAAGAACCCATTAATTGTTTCCGAATTGTTTTTGTTACTCTTACAGGCATCAGATATAAATAGAAGAACTGAAGTCGCAGCTGACCACTGGCATTTTTTTATTTATTATAACAAGGTATGGTCTGTTCATAGATATAAGAAAGTGTCCAATTGCTTTTGAATGGAATTATCCAAGGGTGGTCATTAACATACAATGCAACAAGATTATTACCTAAAGTTTCGGAATTTAAATTCAGGTAAAATTGTGGTCCGTAATAGAAAATAATTTTACACCTACCTGTGTTTAATATTCTTTGGTTTGGTATACTACTTAGTTTAAGTTGTTTAGTATCTTTCCTAACAAAACCCCAAATATTTAAATTCTGCGCCAAGTACGGACCTGTTCGGCCATAATTCATTCTTACAGCTTGCCCGGGTCTTTTCTTAATTCGTATCAGTTAGTCACTTTCTTATATCTATGAACAGACTTTACCCTAACATGACGAACTAACAATTTACAAAGGTACACTGAAACTAAGCACATTTATCTTACTTTATAGGTACTCTATAGGTACATTCGATTGCCTCCACCTCTGCGTAGAGGTGCATACTGAGTTGAAGCAAGTAAGGCACCTTCGGCATTACTAAAATTACATTAACATAATTGAAATTTATTAATACTTACATAGTTTCAGTCGTAGAGTGTGTACTACACATTTTTACAAATATTTGTATTACTAATAACTTATTTACCTCGTCGCATGTCTATTGCATATATTCTTTCGATCTCCTTTCTTACACATGCTTGCAACTCCGGTCTAGTATTTGGTCCTTCAAGTGTTCATGATTATGTTGTCCCTTCTTTAAGATGAATACACCATTCTATTAAACTTTTCCTGATGCTTGATATTTTGTTTCTGTGCTTCTGAGATATCTTTTTGCAATAACTCAAATATTTAACCTTTAAACCTATAAAGGGTTGAATAATGTTATAAAATACGACGTTTTTGCACTAAACATGCAAAGCTACTATAACATATTAAATCAATTTTACTTCGTTCCGTAACACCTTCTGCGTGAAAAAAACATAAACTGGTCGTGAAAAAATATTTGTTAAGGGGTTCCGTTCTTGTTCTGCATTACCCTATAAATTTACCACCCACAATTAACTGAATTCCTGTTTAAAAAAGTAAGTAATAAAATATTAACTTAGTAAGTAAGTTTCAAACTTGATATCCCTATAAAAATAGCTAACCGTATACGTCACGAACCAGCTGTTGGCGGATCAACTGTTACAAACCATCCCTCCGCCCGATCATCTCGAAAATTCAAATTTTCCCGCCCGATTATGAGTCAATTTTAACGTGTAGCTAATATTGAAATATAATATTGATGATTTTGTTCAAAATTTTACTCAAGGTTTTAGCGCTTTGATTTGCACATCGCCCAATTGCTAACGGGGGTCAGAGATTCTATTGCTCCGGCACATTTTTTACCATCGGCTGTGGGAAACCGGGAACCCCGCCCACATTCCTCTGCCAAATTTTTGAAGGTTCTGTTTTTGAGAGCGTGATAATATATTAAAAGCTATCAGCGCCCGCGGCAGCGCCCGGCCGCTTTCCTAAGCGATTTATTTTGCACGTTCGGTTAGGTTTGAATGTTTCGTATGGACCTCCCGCCCCATGTTCGCGACATTAACTCGGATAAATAAGACGAGGCGCTCGTTCGTTTCGCGACGCTCAAAGACGCCGCTGGCGTCGCTTTGGTCGCACAACCAAACTACCAGTTAATAATAATGCACTTTTTACTCCAAGATTGCACAATTCCGGTCGAGACGTAATGGGGAGTGGATTTCTTTCAGTCGCGCGACATAAAAGGTTTAATTTTCCCCGTCTAAATTTCTTTCGATTGCCTCCAGGGTGGTGGCTATTTATCGGAAACGTCAAGACGACCAGTCAGGTTCGATATGAAAATCTTTGATTCGCGACGGCGTCGAATAACGTTTGTAACTCCAGGGGGGGCTCTGCAGGGGTAAGACCGCGGCACTTGGCAAAATGGAGAGGAAATGGAGCCAGTACAAGGCGTGAGAGACGCACCAGGCAGCAAAAGTCAGCTGTTCGCTGCGCTGTAACTTCCTTCTTTTCGGTAAAATGATAATCAAGCCTGTAAAGAAGGGTCTTATGATGTTAATTAGTATTATTACTAATAATTTAACAAATAATCATATTAAAGTGGAAGAGCTAGTAGAGTTCTCCTAACGATATACCGTTTTTACGACATAATCCGGTATTGAACTTTAGTAAATTTTTATGAAGGTCTAACCGCAGGGCTACCTCGCTTGGGTTTCTTTTCCAAAACTGTAATTCGGTACTACGTGCATACAAATGCTAAAACCTGACGAATTTGTATAGAATTTCGGAGGTGAGATTCCTCGATTATTATTAGTGCATGCAATGAAAAATCCATTCTTACTTTTAAATCCTACTTTTAAAATACAACAGTCCGCATGACACTGTTCTCTTCGGCTAACATCTTAAATACGGCCCTGGCGTGTGGTACAGAAGCTTGTGGTGAGAAGAATGGCCTCTTCCGCTTAAACTAAGTCCGAAGTCAAAATAATAAAATGTTGTAAAACGGTATATCGTTCTAATCGCGCAGAACACGATATGAATCTGAAGAAACTTGGAAAATTATTGAGGATATCTAGGAAACATATGTAAAACTTCTGAGGCAAATAAATATATGTAGGTCTGTGGATGAGAGGCGAAACTACTTCAGTTAGAAATCTGTAACTTTTTTGGTTAGTTGCTTATCTCAAGGATTCCTCGGAGGACAGTGGGCGCAGAAGTTACGTATTCCTACTACTATAAAAGTGAAAGATCCACAGATCTTAAAAAATCGTAAATATGAACGATGAACCTTTAAGAAGGTTGTAATAGTATCACAGTATCACTTTTCGCAAGATACATATGAAAGAAGTTACATAGACTTTTCACCAGCGCTGATGCTCAACCTAAAAGCCGCTAATTTGGACTTGGAAACTTTGGATACAAAAGACGTTTTAAAAAATCGACTTTCCATCGGACTTAATTACCAGCCATTTCGGTACATAAATAAAAGGACGCAAATTTTCCGAGTCGAGATAAATTTACCACTACGCGAGAGCTTAATTCGTTAGCTAACCTTTTTGTTGGAGCTTCGGTATTTCCGAGTTCGAAACTTTTCCGTACAGATGGCCGACGTCGGGCGACGGGCTACGATTTTGCTTCGTCGAGAATTCCGTTTTGGCGTACTTGAATTTTTTTGCTTTGCCGTCGTTCGCTCTAATCAGCAAACCTAGAGAGCTGAAAGTGTTTTCCGGTTTGTCGGTCATTTTTTAGTTCGATGTGCATCTTGTCGACGAACTACTTGTCGAAAATTTTTAACAACTTCGCTATTGAAAACGTCTCGTTTTGGCATCTCGACGAAGTTTGGTAGGTACGCAAATTGTCAGTGTCAAAGCTTATTGATATGACCTTACATGAATCTGAATCAGCTTTCTTGGGAACGTTCAAGTCCATGACACCCGCTCAATATTTCAAGGAAAACTATTCACTATTCACCTCGTCGAAGTGCCTTTCAAGGCACCAAGATTTCAGGACTTCGGAGCAAGCATAATGTTTAACTCACCATTCAGAAATGCTTTTTTTATATTAAAGAATAGTGATTCAACCATTTCTGCATATATTTTATTTTTTAATGAACAAAAATATCTACTCGTATCAAACTGGAACTGCCTCTATATACGAGACCTGTAAATTAAGTAATGAGATTGAGATAATGAGTTCCAATTATCGTATATTGTGGCCTTTAAAATAACTTTCTTCTGAAGCCACACAGCGCTTGACATGGTTCTTCTAATCCTCATAGCAGTGTTGTAACTGCGATATTGGAATATCCTTCAGCTGGTAATGTGATTCAATTCTGGGTTTGATAAGAGTTGATAACAGATGATTTTTGGGCCGGTTTGTAATGTGACTATACGCAAAATGACCCTGTGTTATGTGTATAAGAACATCTAAGAATGGGAGATTATTATTAGTTTCTATTTCAATGGATATATTGTACACAGTCCAAATGTTCTCAAAAGCTCCAGCTCGCGATGTTTATTGCAAGAAAACAGACAAGCATTTTTCAATTATGGTGAGAAGTTTTGGGTTTGGTTTAGTTTGATGAAGAAGCTAACAGGATGATTGGAAACAACCAATTCAGGAGAATTCCAGAAGATTTATAAATAGAATTACAGTAGCCTGTGGATCAAATTATATTCAAATTCAAAATTCTGGTGGTTAAACAGTGGTTAATTTCTAGTTTTATCCTGATGTTTCATTACACGTTACACTTCGAAAAGTCGAATAAGGAGATTGAGGACTTTTTTCTAGATTTATTGAAATTGCTGTGATAAGGAACATTTTCGTGATGCAACAACTACTTGTTCTTGATGTATGGTTATCGTTTGGGCTTGAGATAGAAATTGCATTTAATATTCCACTTTCACATCACTGCTTTTTTGGGTCTTGGAGTGTGCCACTCCGTGTTCTAGACGTTGGTTTCTGGGTCGTACTCGAGACTGGTCACCATTGTTCCAGAAAAAGGGGGTTATGTTCAATCTAATACAAAAAAGAAAGGCATTTTTTCCTCTTTTCTCATTCCGTTGCACCAAGTCGAATTCTGAAGTATCCGATAGCACACCGTTGCTTCAAATTGATGTTGATATTTTGCAAAAAAAGCACAATGAACAACCAAATGACTCGAGCGAGTTCAAACCTGCGGCGTTGCTAGTGAGACCGTTGCTTGTAGACCACGTATGTTAAACAATGAGTTTACAGGTCTCATCTGTGGTGAGATGATATTGTTCGAATTAAATTAAGATGCTTCAAACACGATACAAAGCTGACGCGTAAGCGGAAAATAAACATTTTCCATCTCCAAATAGAAACTCCAAGCTGAAGTTCAAGTACGTGCCGCGGTTTCGCATAGAGGCATTTCGGATAGAGATTTATTTTAGAGTTTATCTTTGAGATAGACAAAATGAGCGCTTCGAAAACAGCTGTCGGCCATCGTTTGATATTTGAAAGCTTTGCCGGTTTTATAACTCCGCCTAATTAACATTTTTACCGGTATGGTTTTTATTTGCGAGACATGGAGAGTTATGTTATGAGAGACATTTTCAATTAATATTATGAAGGAAAAATGCCTTAAGGGCATCAATTTTTATAATTAGTTTGACTTTTCAGAAATGACCTTGAAACAAGGACATACGTGTGGTTGAGCTCAGAACCTCCACTTCTCTACTACTGATACTCCTATATATACACGATTCAGGTCGGTAATATAACGCAAGGCCTTAAGGATAATAAGAAAAAGCAATAGCTCTAAATTATTTGATATAGTTTAACATAACATCATTTAACATATATCTAATATAAAATCGATCCTACTTGTCTCCAAGGATAGACTAAGTGTCCCTGCGTCTAATCTAATGTAAATAAAGCGTTAAAACTTTCTTCTCCTCCGTGTTATTCTCCCTAGGACGATTTTCAATGGCGCCGTCAACTTTTATCCCGCCTCTGAGGCTTTTAGAATTTTTTCGCGAACGGCCATCCAAGTTTTGCGGTCCTCGGGGAAGATGCAATCTTTCGTTGGGGAATGAGCGGGCGTTTGATCGTTGTTAAGTTTTAGGCGAAAACGCCGATTCCTCCGGGAACGCCTTTTTCCTTCCATTTTTCGTTAAATATTCATATAGAACGATTTGTATTTTCAATGGCTTATTAAGCAGAGAAAGAAATATAGTCTTATCTTCTTCCTCTTCTAATTGTTTCTGCGAGGTCCATAATTGGGTTCTTAGCAATTTGAGTAAGGATTCAGCTGATTAGGTCCTCATTATCGAAATAACTCACAACTGTTATCATAAAGTGACAATTCGTGAACGCACAAAACTGAACGAAAGGGTATCTATATCCGATAGACTCTAAGACCATCTATTAAAACTAGCGCAACCAAGATAAGTAAAAACACTTCTCGCAAGTTGTGACTTAGAGGAGATCCAAGTCAAGCCAAACCAAGTGAAAAAATTAAGATTTGTGGTGCCTTCTTCGTCACGTTTCCAGCTGATGGTCAATCAGAACTCTAGTAGGTGCAACCAAGACATGTCAGGACGGTGATCACAGGCGACAACTTGGACGGAACTTCAGCTAAGCAAAAAGCAGCACTGGGTATCTTCTTCATCAGGCTTTAGTAGATTACTATTGATCATCAAAATCATCTGGGTTATCCCTTGAAGAGAATCCAAAAAAATACATATTTAGATCTTCTCCAAAGACTACTGCACTCTTTTAACACTAAAGCAAAAAAATTAAACATGCTCATCCAAAGAACCTGTAAGATGTAAGCTGGAAATCGATTCAAAAATAACAGAACAGGTAAATTACTTTAAAAATATCGAATGGAGTAAATGGTTTTCAAAAAACTACTTGTTTTCTGGATGAAATGACGTCATCGGGTCTAGATTGAGGGCGAGAAATGGTGATTTTCATTTGGCTTTTTTCAAATATCTCGAACGGCGTATAGGATAGACGAGAACCGTAAATACAAAAATTGTAGCCCTTGATACGGCCTATAACACTGTTTGAACGGATATTTTTTGTATGAATTTTGATTTACGGTTAATAATTTACTCTCTAAAAGAACAATTTTCGGGGTCTTTTAGATTTTTGTCCATAACGAAAACACCTTGTATATAATCGAAAAATTGGGTGAAACAAAAGTTATAGCGCCGGCTCTCCCACGTATTAAGGATGTAACATTTTTCCGATTGCATGGAATGGCTTTGGAGGAAAAGATGTTCTTCTAGATGCCAAAATAACCACAAAAAAAATCAAAAATTAAAAAAAAATACTTGCTCCCAATTTAAAGAGTCTAAATGCGCGTCCAGACTTCTACTTCTCTCCCAAGTCTGAAATGTTTTTTAATATTGCACGGAATATCGCGAACACCCTGTACAATACTTAAAAACCGTAAATACAAAAGTTTAAACTGTCTATATGGGCTATATCGTCATGTAAAAGAAACTGACATTGAAAATACAGATTTGAAATTATTGCCATTTTTCAGTTTTTTTGAATTTGCGGTGCACCCTGTATATTTTTGAAAAATTGTCAAGAATACAAGTTTATGGAGCCGTTTCCCCTGCGTCTTCTGGTTCAAGAATATTTTCGGTCTTGTAAACGGTTTTTGAAAAATGGTCCTTATTATAGACCCTTCAATACTTCCCGACTCCCCAACCCCCCATTTTCAATACGTTCCGTCACGGGGCAAAGCTGCATATATTTGCCAAATATGAAGTCGATTGCTTAAAATTTCGGATACTTATCGTGTTTCGGAGCAAGGTCCAAAAAACAGTCGAAAACAGCGAAAAAAAGATGGATATCGGATCAGGGCCATTTCTTATAAGCTTATATGCCTCGTGGAGGGTTAAACAGTAGGCAAATATCAGTTTTGTAGCTCCAAAGCTTCGAAAGTTATTCAGGAAAAACCAAAAGACGAGAACGGAAAACGGACAGACAAAAAAAAAATCTTTTTTTCGAGGGCCAACGGCGATCCCATATTACTTACCGTTACCGAGATATAAAATTTTTATACTAGCGCAGATACTTTCGAAAAATTCGATTTTCGAAAGTAATAACAGTAGATACAAACAGAACTCTACAAATGATGAGAACAGTTGAAATAAAAATACTAAGAACGATACGGGGTAAAACTTTGTGGGACAGAATACGGAATGAGGACATCAGACAGCAGTGCGGAATACAAGACATAGAGAGGTGGGTGAGGCAAAGACGAAGATTTTGGAACAAACACATAAAAAGAATGGAAGATGGCAGACTCGTCAAGAACGCAAAAAAATGAACAACCCAGTAGGGAAAGATCTCACGGAAGACCGCCAAAACGGTGGCGAGAATGCCAATATGGTATCCATGTTAGAAAGAAGAAGAAGAGTTAATTTTGGAAGCTCTAAAAATATTTAACCTTCGACTATTACGTGGTGACTTCTAATTGGAGCGTTGTTATGTTGAGAATTATACGATAAACGAACACACGCCATAAAACTCTGCCAAAATTAACTCTAATCACAAGCGAAATGCAATGACAGCACGCTTATCGTCAAAGCTCGTTAACACTGTCGGGGGTTCGAAAAAGCTCGAGGATATCGACGTAGAAAGTAGATTAACAAAATTGCGAGTTAAACAATTACGTCTGGTTGTTTAGTTTAACACACGAACCCCTGAGACTCCCGCATAATTCAAAGAAGGAAAATGTGCCGTACCTACAAATGAGAAAGCTTCTAAAAAGACTGACGGCAGTACACTTGACTGCTGTGGAAAAAATAGTTTCAATACACATTAGAATAAGAGGTATGCGTAAAGGAGCAAAGTTTACCACATGTAGTGGTATCTAGATGCCGAAACCCAAATAAGTTGTGGAACGTCTAGTCCACAATAGGTTGCAAGTAGCTATCACAAAACAAACAAGATCTTTATGGAATCGTCAATCATTTACCTTGGGATCTGGTTTCACAATCATGACAATCCGAGATTCCTGGGATTCTTCTGGATGGTGTAAAAGAACAGCTGTCTCTGATAAAGAGAAAAGACTAACAATGTTGCATGCCCGAACAGAAATCCGTTGGTTACCTAATAGTTTGTGGCCTAGTTTTAGAAACAAGTCAAACTTTTGGTCTTCCACCTGATATTCTTCAAAACAGCATAGTAATGGACAACATGGTACATCACAGTCGTCAACTACATGTTTGTGACTCGACAGTAGTGTGGCATTAGACCTTAAAATTCTGTAGAAAATTTTTATAATTTCCTCAAGATAACTTATAAATTTTTTTTTTGTTAGTTACAAAACTCTTCATCTTTTACCTACGCGAGTTTTACAGTCAGACTTTTCTTTTTTCTCTGTTTTGCTTCAACTTTTTGAAACCCATGTTATAAAATCCAAGCTTGTAACGAGTGCAGATTTTTAAATTATCTCGGATACGAAATTCAGTCCTCACCCCCATTAGAGAATGTAGTGGTCAGCGTAACATCATGGATGATTTTTCTCCAAGCGCTTCTGTCTTTTGTCATCTCGACGCCAACGTACATTGGATTGCTACAGCTAGTCGTGATCTGGTCTATCCATCGAGTTGGCCAAGTGGCCTAAGTGCCTCCACCTTGGCTTGAATTATGAGTCTTATGATCTTACTGGAAAGCCTGCAGGTAATATTAAGACATTTGTACGGCGTTCAGTCAATGGGATACGGAGCATACGTCTAAACAATACATCTCGCTAGCATCCATCTTCTTACGTTCCGCCTGAATAAGAGTCCACGATTCGTAATCATACGTCAATATAAGGAGTGGTCTCTTGAAATCTGGCGGTCCTTCCAAACTTGCTCAGTCTTCCAACCGCTACCTTTGCTATGTTGCACCTAAGTTTCACTTCATCTTCCGATGTGCCTGTGATCCCAGATATACGTATGACTTAACGACTTCAAAGGGGTCAATATGACTTATATCTGGCATATTAATAGATACAACATTGAAAATCATAATTATAGTAATCTTATTTGAAATTTGAAGTTTTAACTCTTGAGACCAAATGACTATTGGAGATCACTACAGGATTCTAGACTGTGAAGAAATAGAGACGTTTTTGATATTACCAAACTACTCAGCTCTCCGAGTACTAGAAGAATGTTTAAATGCCATAGTCAGTGCCTAGATAATTGGTATTTTTGCTGCGATTTCAATATTTTAAACATAAGACAAAATAGTCTTTTATAACAGAAAATTTAAAATGTTTCTGTTAAAATTTTGTACTTTTTAAGCTACAGTTTAAGTACACTAGTGGTTATCTTACGTTGATACAAGAACTTTTGTTTCCTTTTTAGATTATTCGTTTATAGTTCTATGGTCTGTTCCTTTTAGTTTGAGGTTACGATCTGTGATTCTCGGTTTGTACGATACGCAGTTACTAATTTTTTCTTCTCCCATCCGTAAAATACATCATTATACACTTATACACTTTACCACGTGAGATTCTTGTCCAACGGGAGCAATGGGATGTTTTGAAGTTTATGCCTTGCGGCTTGAATTTTGATATTCGTCAATTCTGACGATCATATATATAAGTGAATATATTCATATTGTTGTACTCGTGACTCAAATGCCGTTTACCATACCATACCATTAGAATGTTATTATATTGACTTCTAGCCTCCATTCGGGGTTGGTATTTTGTTATTCTCTTTTATTCTTTCGCCCTTTCCCGGCTCTGGTCGACTTCCGACGACCGACAGGCTCGCAAGCGTTAAACTCCGTTAAAGAATAACGAATTAACGCCGTTGGAATAACAAAGATTTTAAAATGGCGCCTCGTAAGCGTTCCGCGAGTCTTGTTTTAATTTCCTGCCGGGCGCAGAAAAATCGTTCGGGGTTTATAAGTATACCTTTCGATTGATTGAGGATGCGACGCTCAGTTTTGGAGCGGCTAATATTGAAAATTTAACGTACCGTACGAATTAACTGAGATTGAACGGGAAAAATATTTATCTTAAGCGCCTACAGAGAAAAGCAATTTTCGAAAATATTTTCAGATTTCGATTTCAGATTTCTAAGCATTATTCGAAGGTTGTTTTGAGTAAGACGTTTTTCACATATCCGATAATAATGCCGATAGAGCGTGCTTTTTGATACCATAACTACAAAATTACATCTCAAAAGGAAACCGTACCGCAATATGTTAATTTTGGGCTGAAATACCAAAAAAAGAAGATTCGGTTTTTTATTACATTAAAGACGCCATTACACTGACGAGATGAAATCTGGAGTATCGCCTTTGTGAAATCAGCGAAATCTGTGAAATCTTTGGAAAATTTGCACAATTGTACCGCCTCTATGAAATCAGCGAAATCTGTGAAATTTTTGGAAAATTTGCACAATTGTACCGCCTCTGTGAAATCAGCGGAATCTGTGAAATCTTTGGAAAATTTAACGCATTTTTTTAACAGTTTTGAGTGAAACTTACCAAAACCGACCTTAAGTATTGAAAAATTAATCGAACTGTATTGATGGGATTGTTTCATTTGGATTTTTTGGAGTATTCAATCAACTTTCATGGATGGAAAATTGTACTGGAATATCCTCCGGTCTCTTCACCGACAAACAGAAAAAATAGGTGGCTACCATTTGAATAAAAGATATTGCCGCTATTCTTTTTATATTTGGCTTTGTTTTGGCGTAATGGCAACTACCTATATTGACAACTATCAAAATTTCTATCCAAGACATATCAAATGTGAATTATGAAAATTATCAAAAAAAATAGAAATTAAATTTTGAGACAACAATTCGAAAATACTAAATGAGTTGTGCTGGTTTTAAATTTTTTTAGAATTTAAAAAAAAGGGTGAATAGGGGTACTTTTTATTAATTTTTTTGTGTTTATTTTTAATTGCGACGGCATATAGGCATTTTCCACATAACCAAAAAATTATGTTTCAATATCGGTGAAATCTGTAACATCATTTAGAAATCTGTGAAATCTTTGTGAAATAAAAATGTACATAAAATCTGTGAAATATTAATATTATTGGTATTTAATCAATTTGCAAGTGCAAAACTATTCAGAAAATGAGGAGTAAGTCATAGAGGAGAAAACAATTCCTATAAACAAATATTAAAATAATACTTATACAAGCAGCGTAATTTTTGTCGGTTGCACATGCCCCAGGTAGAATATAGTAAAGTTCATGAAAGCATGGGTTTCCCAGACCGCCCAAATTTTTTTAAATAATTTACAGAATTCTTATAACTATTACATATTAAAAACACCATATTTCGATTAGTGCTACGGTTTTCGACTACAAGATGGCACAGTTTTGAAGGTCTTACGCCACTTAGTCACAACTTTTTGGTGAAAAGTGAAACGGATTTTAAATGTCGAAGCATAAGATTCACAATTCAATTTAGGAACTTCCATAGCTCTCACGTTTTTTTCCAAAAATTGCCGTTTATCAAAATAAACCGTCTAAACATGCATGAAAGAAAAAGCTATATTAATTTTTGACACCCTGTATCAAGGCAAGAAACCGTTTTCGGGCCCAATACTGTTTATATTGTTGGTTTCGAAAGTTATGCAAAACACATTAAGTGAATGATAAAGCATATTTACCCAAGTAGAATGGCATATTTGTGAACATTTATTGGCCTACAATAATAATTAAAAATAAGATAAGTTAATTTGTAGTATTGTAGTAGTATTTAATATTATTTACTTACTTAAGTTTGGCCGTTACTGCTACCAAAATTGCTAATAACTATCTGCTGCTTTATCTACGGCTTCAACAAAGGCCCTTCTCCTGTTCCTCCTGTAAATATTGGCAAAGTTAAAATAAATAGCAAAGTATTAAAAAAATATTTAGTGAGAAAAAAAAAGGAAACTAAATTACTGAATTCCCTATTAAATAAAGCTGATGAAATAGTCGACGGGAGGTTGGAAACAGTTGTACAAAGTGCAACTAACCTTCAAACACGGGAATATCAACAAACGGAAAGTGAAGATCTAATTTTCCCGAAAACAGTTTTCCCGGAATCGCAATTATAATCATCACCTATATGCTGACGATACTCAAATTTCTGAGACTAAAATTACCACCGATTTAAAGAACTTTTATAAAATTGCATCCGATCATGCAGCTAAATCCAACTAAGTCGTCGGTGTTGGTTTTTGGAAATGATTCCCACGTACATAAGTCAAAAACAAAATGTTGATAAAAATTATACTATACTATACTCGAATACATCGAAAAGTTTACATCACATTACAGTCATAGATATTTTCTTCCAATTGTAACAAACTACTTTGTGAATCTATCGTTCTCTCATAGCTCAATAAAACAAAAAAATACATGTTTGCGGCTTGTTGATAGAGTACGCCGACAAGATCATATTTCTCCATACTTGGTTATTTCGAGTTGTGCGATAGATTTAGGTTACACCGCGCTACATTCTATTTTAAATTAATTAAGTACAAATTTCCTGAATATCATTTTAACAAAATCACTTCTATCTAAGAAATTTCTTTTTATTGAGAATACCACAACAATGGTCATTTTCCTATAGCATTGCACATACAAAAAATAATTTAGTGCTACTAGATTTAACAACAACTTTTAAAAACCGGTACAAAAAATAACTTCTTGGAACTCAATAATTTCTGTATCGGAAAACTGATCTGCGGTTTACCCTCACCCCCTTCTTTCTCCCTTGTCCTACGACTTCTCCTATATTTAATTATTAATGTATTATGAACTAACCAAAACTCTAACATATTTAATGTTGTTTATTTGATATTTTTTTGTTTTGCTTAAGGCAATTTGGTTTATATTAAATTGAACAGTGTCTGATTTTGCTGGATGTCTACGTTTCATTAGGCCTTTTGTTTGCCTTAAAATTATTACATCTAATAATTTGTAGTGTAATAATATGTATGTTTGGCATAGCAATATATGTATTTATTATTGGTTATTAGTTATGAATGTTTTATTCGTAACGCTGTTTTTGACCCACCCCGTATACTTTAAAATAATTTCAAACTTTGCATCCTAACAATCTTCACAACTTTTGTATTTAGCATTTATTCATAACTTTTGAAACCAATGAGATAATGAACTTTATTGTTGACTCACCCTGTACTATGAAGACGTTGTTTTGCGCCATACGGCACGAAAATTAAATGCGGCATCGCGATATTAAATATTTCAAAAGGCCTGTTCGCCATTATAAAAGGCGGGCGACATAATTTGCAGCTTTAGCCCGTACAAAGGAAACCCAGAAATCTCTCTCCTCGTTGCCGAGTTATTTCGCAACTTATAGAATTCCGGGAGTCGCTAGAAAGTTTTAATGGGATCGCGCAGACGCCATTGAAACGTCAGATGTATTATTATGACCACGCAAGTGTTGCACTTAATTGAAACGTATGTAGTGCGCGGGATTTTGCTGACATTTGGATCGACAAAGGCGAAACCCAACCCCTTACGAACCTGATGTAGGCTCGTGTCAAATACTTCGGAGTTCAATTAACTCTTACTCTCTAATAATAACAAAGGACTTTATTGCTCCAAAAGAAAAAAATTATATATAAAATATATATTACTATCTAATGCCCTATATATATATATATATATATATATATATATATATATATATATATATATATATATATATATATATATATATATATATATATATATATATATATATATATATATATATATATATATATATATATATATATATATATATATATATATATATATATATATATATATATATGATGACACTATATTCCGGGATATCATCCGTTCGCTCGCTGAACTCCGACCGGAATCCTGCATCCGACTGGAATCCTGCAAATCCTGCATCCGACTGGAATCCTGCAGACGTTTCGCCAAAATCTTACTTGGCATCTTCAATGCTCGCGCTCCTAAAACACTTCGAACACTTCGAAGTGTTTTAGGAGCGCGAGCATTGAAGATGCCAAGTGAGATTTTGGCGAAACGTCTGCAGGATTCCAGTCGGATGCAGGATTTGCAGGATTCCAGTCGGATGCAGGATTCCGGTCGGAGTTCAGCGAGCGAACGGATGATATCCCGGAATATAGTGTCATCACATTTTTCCATCCGTGAATCAATACGTGAGAATATATATATATATATATATATATATATATATATATATATATATATATATATATATATATATATATATATATTTTCAGGTATTGATTCACGGATGGAAAAATGTGATGACACTATATTCCGGGATATCATCCGTTCGCTTTTTGAACTCCGACTGGAATCCTGCAGACGTTTCGCCAAAATCTCACTTGGCATCTTCAATGCTCGCGCTTCGAAAACACTTCGAACACTCAATCGCTTACAGAGCCGTAACACTGAACCCAAAATTAAAACAACTTAATAATTTCCACATTAAAGATATTAAGCGTTCCATCACAAAATACACTTCAGCACAACCTTCCAGTAGCAATGAAGTCACTGTTGTCCTTCCTTACATTCAAAATATCAGTGACCACATATCAAAAGTTCTAAAGTACTATAACGTCAAAACCAGATTTACCACTTGTCCAAAAATCTCTCATCTTCGATCCGCCAAAGACAAAATTCCATTTGAGATGCCAGGAGTTTACAGCATTCCATGCATGTGCGGCAAAGTATACACTGGAGAGTCAGACGAAAAATATCAACTAGGCTCAAAGAACATGAAAGAGCCTTAAGACTAAGACTAAGACAAATAAGCCGATCAGCAGTTGTCGAACGCAATCACAAAACTGCACATCAAATTTTATTCGATAAAACTAAAATTCTTGCTTGTAATCAATTCTTCTGCCAACGAAAAATCCGAGTCTATAGAAATCTATAAGCAACCTAAGAATCTTAACCGCGGCTAAGGTCTTTATGGGAATCAGTCATCCGAGACGGTGTTTTATAAAATGCATCGCTATTTATTTTAATCAATGGGAGAAAACTATTTATTTGCGAATGCACTATACAACTAAGTCCACCCCTGATATTCTAAACAAGCTTTAAGTTTTAGTTTAAGGAGTCCTCCTAACAGTAGTAGTCATCACATTACATTTTTATTTAATTGCCAAACCAAAATCAAAATTCCAGTGGCGTGTTTTGGGGGCTCCTCGGGCCTCAGTAAAAGGGGAGTGTAGTTGGTAAAAGAATATAGAAAGGTTAAATCGTATGAAATTGTGGTTCTATAAACCCCAAACACCATGTCATAGAGCCAACTAGAGTCATCTCATATAATAAGTAATGATAACTAAAGAAAATGAAAATAAATAATCGGTACTCGTAGCGGCGTTCGTAAAACGTTTAAATTTTTCTTTTTAAGCACGCTTTTTAGTTCGACATCGAAGGGCACGATCGTAAGCCGGAAATAACGAGGAGCACGTCATATTTCTTTCCGGGTTCGAAGTTCGCCCCTTAACTTTTTGCCACGCAGAGCGACCGACGGGTTTCTACGGGACTTCAAATCGTATTACGTACGGTCGATAAATGTTTAAAACGCATTTTCCAGACAGACTTGATCGCGTACTGCGTAAGCAAGATAAAAAGAGCCACTCTCCGTCCTCTTCCGTGGCACTTGATAGCAGAATGTATACAATTTCTGGTTCCCTTGGTTAGTTCTAGAAAAGAAGTAAAGAGGGATAGAGAGACTTGATTCAAGTTTAAATCAACGTTGAATTGAATCAGCTAACTTAAACCTTTTCTAATTCATTGATAAATCACAATAAATCCAAAATAAATCATCATGAATCCTAAGCCAAGGCTGTAAATCCTCATTAAATCACTGTTAAGATAGAAAGAGCCACTCTCCGTCCTCTTTCGTGGTACTTGATGGAAGAATTTTTACAATTTGTAGTTCCAGCGATGATTAATTTTTTGGATAGTCACAGCTGTAAAAAGGAGTGAAGAGGATTACGACGGATAACGATAGAATGGATTGAAACGACCTCAACTGACTTGGGCCTTTTCCAAATAATTGGTAAATCACCATAAATCATAAATAAATGACCATAAATCCTCAGTAAATCACTCTAAATACTTAGCAAATCACTGTAATATATTCTCTTCTACTTCCTACGATGTTGAAATGTTTCGGCTATTTATTTAAAAACTTTGTCATCAGTGTGAGATAACATAACGCACCCGACCTAAAGCACAAGAAAACCTTGATCGGCACTGACAAACATCGATATCGGCTTTATTACCTGTCGCATCGTTTACTCGTCGTCCTTTGATTTAAGTTATCCAGGTGAATTTTCACAGAAACTGCTTTCATTCTGGAGGCGTATTAAATTTAAATCGGTTTTACTATCAATATACAAACTTCTCATTGCTTACATACAAATTTATTGAATCTGACTTACTGATACAATGAATAATATCACAGTGTACTCTAATTTTATTGTAATTTGCACTAACTACGCAAATTGGCGATTTTTATATTCAAATAAATTTTCACATAAAATAGCTGTTGGAGTAGATTGTAGTAGAAAAATAATACTAACTGTGAATCTTCGATGATGCAGTGAGGCTAAACTTTGAGTTTACTATACAATTACAACAACTTAGGCTGTTGAACCAAGAATAATAATATGGGGTCATAGATACAATATCTCGAATGATTCGCAACAGGAAACCAATAGGAAACCAAGATGCCTGAAGGAAATGTCGCCCATTTTATGGAATATACGTTGCTTATTTGGTTTACTCTTATCGGCGTCGTCGGGATATCAGGTATAATATTATGGATATTGGGGTTTCAATTTTTAAGC